TGGGATTATATAAACCTTTGTCAAAATTCACAGAAGTATGTCTTTTTAAAAGGGGTAAATTTTACTGTACACAAATGATGACTCAATAAACCTGACTAAAAAACAAAGGAAGATATAAAGATCATTATATACCATGCTCTTTGATAATATAATTAAAGTTTACCTATTAATTTTCAGGTAGCTCAGAGTATTTCACAAAATTATGAATGTAATTGTTCTGCCATTAGCAAAGTCTAAAACATCATTTAACAACATAGCATTTCAAAGATACAGATAATTCTAACTATACATTTGTTATGGTTTTTGTGAAGAATGCTTTGTATGTTTAACAAGGAGGTGAAAAATGACAAGTGAGTTTGAATTTGGAGGAAACACAAGCTGGGAAATGGAAAGAAGTAGAAAATGAGATTTCTTGTATGTCAAGGAAAGGTACAAAAGGCAGGACAGGAATTAAGGAATATATATTTTAGTTAATTTAAGAAGAAGTTGGAATTATTAGGAAAAGTAGTAAAGATTTTATTTAAAGGAAGAGGTTATTGAACTGAGATTTTATATGACATATGATTATTCTATTTAATATTGATTCTTAGGTTTAGGAATATCATCCAGAGCTGATGGTTTGACTCAGTGGTACAGTACTTGCCTAGCATGTGCAAGGCCCTGGGTTCCATCACCAGTACTGCCCAAAGGCGGGGAAAATAGAGATATCATGATCAATTGTATTATAAGCCACACTTAAATAACATTGTATTGAAATGAACTATGATTTATTTTTTAGAACGTTCTTTATGTAAATTATACAAGCTCCACTGTCATCTGAGAACCACAGGCTTAATGGAGAATTTTCACTCCTAACCTTTTCCATGGACCAGTCCCAATGTTCTCTTTGTCTTTGCTTGCTCACTTGTTTATTTAGTTGAATTTTTTTCTGGGAACCACTGGCTGCTTTTTTTGAACTCTACTTAGGTAAACTCACATTTAGTAGATTTATCTTATACCAAGTTACACAACAGATTTATAGCAGATATTCTTGCCATTGCTTCATTTTACTGAGTTTACAATGTCTTAAAAACATAAAGGCCAAAAATTGATATATTTTTGTGATGTGAGTTGTTTATTTGGACATTTTTAATAGACATTGTAATTTTAAGTTGGATTAAAATAAAATACTCCTTTCTTGTCCTATGCCTCCAACATGGTTTTCAGGCATTTTGTGGAGGTTGGCCAGATGGCCTACACCTCCTTTGGGCCTCATGCTGGAAAGCTGGTAGCAATTGTAGATGTTATTGATCAGAACAGGGCTTTGGTTGATGGACCTTGCACTGAGGTAAGGAGACAGGCCATGCCTTTCAAATGTATGCAGCTCATTGATTTCATCCTCAAGTTTCCTGACAGTGCTTGCCAGAAGTATGTTCGGCAAGCCTGGCAGAAGGCAGATATCAATACAAAATGGGAAGCCACAAGATGGGTCAAGAAGATTGAAGCCAGAGAAAAGAAAGCCAAGATGACTGATTTTGATCGTTATGAAGTAATTAAGGCGAAGAAAATGAGGAACAAAATAATCAAGAATGAAATTAAGAAGCTTCAGAGGGCAGCTATCCTGAAAGCTTCTCCTCAAAAGGCATCTGTTGCTAAGGCTGCAGTTGCAGCTGCAGTAGCAGCTGCTGCTGCTGCTAAAGCTAAAATTCCAGCAAAAAAGGTAACTCCAGCAGGCAAGAAGGCTCCGGCCCAAAAGGCTCCTTCCCAGAAAGCCTCAGGCCAGAAGGCAGCGCCACCTCCAAAAGCTCAGAAGAGTTAGAAAGCTCCAGCCCAGAAAGCACCTGCTCTGAAGGCATCTGGCAAGAAAGCATAAGAGGCTATTAAAAAAGGAATAAGGATTCTTTGGACATGTTAAAAAAAATTTAAAAAATAAAATAAAATACTCCATCGTTGCAAATATTTATAAAACTTGGTTGCATTATATATTTAAAAATGAGATTTCTTATATAAAAGGTACTTAACTAATTATTCAAGATCTGGATGATAAAAATGTAATCTTACTGAGATCAAGGTATATAAAAAGTATCCAGCAACTAGCTATTTATCTTCATGTTCCATTTCCTTGGCTGGTTACCTCTGTCACAGCTTAGATGACATTAAGTATTGTTACAAACTGCCTTTCATGTCTTCCCACTCATTTATCCATTCGATTTTTTACTTATTTAATAATTGTTGAATACCTCTATATGCCAGATTCTGGGGATACAGGTATGAGTAAAACACATGAGAGTCTTGTTCTTTGTAGTGAGAAGGGACCCCCAAAAATATGGACAAATAAATATTTTCAAATTACAGCACATTCTATGAGGAAATAGAACAGGGTAATGATATATAGAATGATGCCATTGAAGGTGTGTGGTAAGTGGGCAGAATATTTTGGACAGGATGGTGAGGGTATCTAAGACAACATATGCACTGACAACTCTGAGAAGCGTATGAAGTAAAGGTGTCAGCCATGGAGGAGATCTGTGGGAAGAACATTACAAACATAGGAAACAACAGCAAATCCTGAGGATGAAATGCATTTGGCATTAAATGAGGGCTATAATACAGGCCCATGTAATTGAGTGTGAGTGCAGTAAACAAGGGGAGAGTGGTAGGAGATGAGGCTAGAAAGCCATCCAGGTGGAGGGCTTTGGAAAAAAAAACTTCAGTTTCGTTCTAATGACAATGTAAAATTATCACAGGATTTTAAGTATGATGGAGATGTGATTTTTTAAAAAAAATTCTCTCTGGCTTTTCTATAGTAGGCAAGAGTATAAACTTGGAAAATGAGAAGATGGCCATTACAGTCACCCAGGCAAAAGATGATGGTGACTTGTAGTAGCAGTCACAGTGGTGAGAAGAGGTTCTACTTTGCAGATGGGGCTGCCACAGATTGCTGATGGATTGATATGGGGATGGTGAGAGGAAGTAACTATATAGTACATCAAAACTACTTTTGTGACATTATTTCAAGAATGAAACATGATCAAAATGATTTTAGGTCTTATCAGTGTGGCATTTTCTTACAATTGCTTGAGTTTACAGACTCTGATCTTATCTCTACATTAGTAATAGATTTTTCTCATTCACTTAACATAGTACATTACTGTAAGCTTCATTTTTAGATTCTTAGAACCATTCACCCTATTTATCTCCCAGTCTAGGAAGGCTCTGAGAGGCTTCATTTCTGTCCCACTGATGAAGAACCTCATTCACCTAAGCCCACTGTGGAAGACCAGTCCCACAACAAAGTTATACTAAAAAGGCAGATTCTGTTTCCATCTAACTCCTAAGTTGGCTTTTCTTACTCCTAAAGGTCTGTATAGCATGATCTTGCCATTTCTTGTAGCAGTGCTTTCAGGAGTGAATTTTTTTTTTTTAAAAAAAAAGAATATAAAAAGAGAAAATGCTTGTGGAATATATGAGGAAAGAAGAAGGAAGGTACAAAAAACAGAAAGAGAATGGATGAAGAACTCTCACCACTTAAAAATTAGTTAATATAATTAGAGCCATTCAATTGAGTGATAAAACAACATGATAAACTTCACCACTAAGAATTTTGAAAAAGTGGCAGACGGGCAAGGAAAGAAAAGCTGGGAAAGAAATTTAATTTTGAACTAGTCATTTTGCTTTATGATAAAGACCACAGAAGACATTTTTTTACACTAGGAAGAAATATATGTGACCACAGCTATCTCTAGTTTCATGTTTATATATTACTACACATCACAAATGAGAGAACACAAACATACTTAATAAAAAGTTTACAAATCCAGCAACTCAAGAGGCTGAGACAGGAGGATCACAAGTTTAAGATCAGCCTGAGCAATTTAGCAAGACCCTAAACAATTTAGCAAGACCTTGTCTCAAAAAATAAAATGGGCTGCAGATGTAACTCAGTGGTAAAGTGACTCTAAGATCAATCCCTGGGACCAAAGAAACAAAAAAGGAGTTTACCAAGAACATTTGATTTTTCAGAGAAAGAAAATGTAGGCTATTAACAGTCATTATGTAAGTGATGGGGCCCTCTAGTGGCTATTTGTGTTTTCTACATATGGATCTTAAAACGCATTTTGAGAAAAAGATCTTTAGGAAAAATATCTATAAACACTCAAGGTGTAATGTCCTTACATACAGTTTTTCCCCACAACCTGTGGATTTGCTATTAACTGTGACAGTAAAAACCATCCATTTTATTCTTTACTATATTTTTAGTGATCAGTATAGTGATTATGTTTGATGCAGCTTCAACAACCCAAACTGATGAGGATATATGGCAAAAACAAGCTCTGGAACTGACAAGACTCTTTTAAACACAGGTTACACTTCTGGTGCTATAGAGGATGGACTAGATCAGAGGGAGTAAGGAAGGAAACCAGTTAACAGGCTGTTTGTGGATAGTCTAGGTGAAAGAGGATATAACCCTAACCTGGAGCAATAGCAAAGAGGATGGAAAAGATGGGTTAGACTGAAGATATTTCTGAAATATTCAGGGACTGAATATGAGAGAAGTAAGAGAAGGAGGAATTGAGGATAACACTGGGATTTCCTGCTTGGGAAAAGGGTTGGATACTGACACCATTAACTAAGAAAAGGTTGTAGAAAGAGGAATGGGTATTTGGTGTTTTGTATATCTAGATAGAAGTGTTAAGAAAAGAGTTAAAAAAAAAAGCTGGAGTTCAAGTTGGTTTGAAATTTAAGAAATATATCAGAGATTTGTATTAGTCAGATTTTTATCACTGTAATAGAATACCAGGCACAGGCTACATATGAAGAAAAGAAAGGATTATTTTGGCTCACAGTTCTAGAGGGTCAAGTCCAAGATCAGGCATTTATTGTTTGGGTCTTTGGTGAGTACAGCATATTGTACTGTATATCAGTGAGCAGTCACATTTCAAGCCACAAAACAGAAAGAGAGGATTAGGTTTTCCCAATCCATTTCAAGGGCATACCTACCCTCAATGACCAAATGATCTCCCACTAGGTCCCACCTCTTAAAGGTCCCTAGTACCTCCCAATACCACCACCCTGGGAACCAGACCTTTGGGGGACATTCACCCAAACCATACCAGGATCAATGTCTATTAATGAAGCCACAGAATGGGTAAGGCAAGTACACCAGAGAGAAAAGAAGAGGTCCAAGGAAATCACTACAACATCTTAGGCATTGAAGGAACCCAAGCTAAGAATTATCTGAGGTAGAAAGGCATTAGAAAATTTGAGAAGAGATGAGAGAGCCATCAAGGCATGGTAGTAGTCTATAGTATCACACAGGGCAGAAAAAGAAAGTAGACTGTGCATGAAAAAACAACCATTGTGCAATAAATTCAACAGGTCAAAATAACATTTATAGGGGAGGTAAAGTCTTTTCCTCTATTTTCTTACATTTTAGTGGCTGGAAATCTACAAATTAAACAAACAGAAAAAAAAACTATACTACAGAGCAATACTAACAAAAATAG